CTTACACACACGCACATACATACACAAAAACACAGAATCAAACACATGCACAAACTCACAAACACACTTAAAAGCTAACACATGATATACCTAATCCCTCTGTGTCCGCCCCCCCCCTCCCACACATACTTTATCACACACTCGCATGCAGACATCCCACAGAATGAGGAGTTGATTACATTCACAGACACATTTAATAGCTCTCTGCGGTGTTGTAAGATGTCCGGTTATCTTCCCTTTGTCAGGTTTTCAGATAATCGATATCCTGGACAGAAATACAACCGTACGTGTAAGCTCGATTTGGTATACACTCACTCTAAGAAAGTGCTGGAAAAATGGAGTGACACATGTGCAGCAGTTCTCTCGTTGGTGAGTAAGCAAGAGCGGTGTATTAACGGTGCATACTGCCACGGGCGTCTCAGAATGGTGAGTCTTTTACACCCTTTTTTTGATCGGTTTGATCCCATGTCCTCTTTCCAACTGTTTGAAATATTAGTCAAATAAACTGCATAACGTCCTTTATGTTGAATTAGGCTGTTAGACATTGATATTATGGGACCTCACTGTGGCTCGAACGTTTTAGAAATAGCAAGTCTCCATCTACTTTTTGTTTTTCTTTTGACTACTTTGTAGGTCGTGACAGATGGTCCAAATTCCTCGATACCCCCCCCCCCCCAAAAGAGAAAAAAAACAAAAAACAACAACCAACCAACCAACCAACCAACCAAACAACCAACCAAACAAACAAACAAACAAACAAACCCTGTGATCCTTTCCCTAATCATATCTACACGTAAAAGAAAAACCATTTTTGGGGGCAATCAAAGGGTAAATGTGTACTGGTTAAATAATATTATATCACATACAACAGTGGCTAGGCAAATATTTGGATACATCAGCTAACGAGACACGGGCTCTTGTTGACACGGTCAGGCAGTCTTCACTATGTCACCAAGTCCTGGGCAATGACGTACTTTCATCGCGGGAAATTTCTCTGTGAAAAACTGGCTTCTGGTGAAGTTTTGTCAACGAAGGCTTCCAAAAAAAGGTTGAGGACGTATTCATCATCATCCGGTGCATTTCCGACTGGCGTGGGCGATCATGGACCCCCACTTCACTCTGTCTTGCGTTGCAGCAATGGTGTGTGTTGTTCTTGCTGCTATTAGCTATGTTGTCATCGTTTCCAGTATCTTTTTCCCCTTGTCTGCCTCCGCCTCTCTGTCCATCAAACTTGCCTGTTGTTACAATATTCTCCAATACTTCTTGTGTGTCCGAAGAAATTTGCCGTTCGCTTTCTTATATTGAGGCCGTATTAGAATACCTTTAATTTAGACAATTTCACATGTTGATAAATTGAATTGACTTTCCGTACGCAGAGATTCGAGTATTAATGTGTCACGAAACGGTGGAATCAGGCGCTCGTCAATTTTTGTGTATGTGGAGTTATTGGTATCAGCGGAAAGCTGATTGATTTGTCTTGGTTTCAATGAAATAAATAGTCCATCTATCTTGAATAGAACAGAGATATTTGCAATTGAGGGTAGTGAGGTCGTTTGGTTTCTGTAGTGAAATAAGCGAGAAAATGGCAGCCTACGTTTGGTAACTTCAATAGCTAAAGAGTCTTTGAAAACAGAAAAATGACAGAATTTGTGCCTTTAAGCAATGTTTTTCAATAAAATCTACTTGGAAATGTCTTTTTGTAAGGACGTAAAAGAAGTTGAGACCAAAAATATAAATTCGACTTTAAAATTCCAAACTTTCTGAAAAAATGTCCAATTCTCCGATTTCTGTATTTTGACGAGCGCCTGATTCCACCACGATACCTCGCAATTTGTCACGTCATATGTGCACGTACACGTATTAAGATTTCGTCGTCTCTGTAGCACAGATTTGTCACAGAGCTCGTATATTATGATCTCATTAAGCAAGTGACGCGGGCGCTCGTGACAACCAGAGAGTCGCTGTACGTGTTTCAGAATCAGGGTCATTGACGTCAACGTCGTCGGGGAACTGATCCAACGTTTCCCAAACTGTACGATGTGTGACAAAAATACCTGCTGGTATCCAATCCGGCCTTTGGGGATTGCCTTGTTAGTGAGACATCTTCCAGGGCCTTCGGCATATTGTGGTAGGGTAGCTAGTTCCTTTCCATGCAGCCTTTACTCCCCCAACTCGAAGCCAGGTACTCATTACTGCTGGGTGGGCAGGAGGAGGCGAAAAAAATCCAGTGTCCGAACCGAGGCTCGAACCCAGATTTTCCGCTTCTTAGACGAGCGCACTAAGCGCTCCGCCACCGTGTCCTCATACATTATTATATTTTGTGCTATAAAAAATTGTAGATATATCTTCTTTCTGTTTCAGATTTTCTTGTTGTCATGCCCTTCTAGCTACAACAACAACAAAAACAACAACAACAACAACTACAACAACAACAACTACAACAACAACAACTACAACAACAGCAACAACAACAACTACAACAACAATAACTACAACAGAAGCCTTCAGTATTTCTGTAACAGTTTGTGCCCAGGTGGTTAGCAGCTGGGTTTGGTTGTCACAGCACAGGTGGACGGACCAACTTTCCTTTTCATTTTGTCTGCTTTCAGGGAGCTCAAAATTGAGTATGTTGTGGGTCTAACATACGCTCATAAATGTGTATGTTGCAGGTCTAACATTTTATCTCATATTATTACTATCATTATCATCTAAATGACTGGATTATATATA